GTTATCACAGAAACAAAACAAGAACAAGCAAAGAACATGTGTTCTGTCTGTCCACCACGTGGTGTTGGACCATGTGGCTCCATGAGTAATCCTTGCCTATTTTGCGTACCCAAATGGAAAAATCAAATAACTGAGGAACTGTAAGCCCAAATTACATGTGTGACCCATCATTTGAAAGCTAACACCTTCCGGTTCTGAAAGATAAATTAAAATTGGGTGAGTAAAACACAACCCAAGCTGCAACAGTTCAAACATGGCTCAAAGTTTTTTTTTTTTTTTTGAAATAATAGCTCTTTTTTGAACAGCAGTAATAAAAATAAGCTTGAGAAAAAGCAGAAAATGTCAGACCTCTAGCTACAACAGTTCCAGAGCTATGGGGCTTTGAACTTTTGGTGTCACCAACATCTCCAAATCTCTGCAAATTTGCCAAAATGTGCCAAATGCTTCTACTCAACTATTTGGCTCAATAGAATAACACTGAAGCTTTTTGATCACCACAAAACATTTATGATGGTTTTTTATGCTATATTTTTTGTTTTGTTTTTTCATTGCAATAAAACAAAATCCAAGTCCAAATATCGGACTGTTATTATTCAGCTTTGAACTGCGCCCATTGATCCAGCCTCAGCAGTGTGTTTCACTTTGACGTTGCTTTATCCAACTCAGCCATGTCTACCCTTGTTTGAAACCTTCTTTCATTGGCTAAAACGAGAAAACAGCTCACGTGTTCTTAACCAATGACAGCAGGACTCTATGAGGCGTAATATCGCTCTACTTGGTGAGTCATTGGCTGACAGGCAAGGAGTGCTCTTGAGATTTCAGCGGCTGTCCCTGACTTAAATCGCATCATACTAAAGATGTGGACACTTTTGTCTTGTAGGAAAGAAGATGATGTAAAGAAACATAAAACACGGTGGGCAAACAAATGAGGAAGTAGGTAGTCTTAAAGTATTAGCAAGATGCTAAGCATTAGCTATGACCAGCTAACTTTTCTGATGTCAAAAACCGGACACTATGTGGTGATTTTCTCATCATGGAATATTTTCATTATGAATATTCTGGATTACTTTTACTCTGTGGACCCTTATGGATGAATGGAGTATAAACAATTGAAGATTGGTTTTACAAAAACTGGACGTCTTTAAAGGTATGTTGTTGTGGCTGGTTTGTAATGTTTATAGTTTGACATGCATGTGCTCTGGCGCTCTCTGTGTCCATAAAATTAACTTGGTGGTTGAATTGTGGGGAATCTAAGCTTTCCAACGATGTCTGACGTGTCTATATTGGCAAGAAGTTTATTGTAATATTCATGCAGGCTGCTCAGTGGCGCAGTGGGTAGCACTGCTGCCTTGCAGCAAGAAGGCCTTTCTGCATGGAGTTTGCATGTTCTCCCTGAGCATGCGTGGGTTCTCTCCGGGTACTCCGGCTTCCTCCCACAGTCCCAAAACATGACTGTTAGGTTAATTGGCTTCCCTAAATTCTCCTTAGGTGTGAGTTAATGGTTGTATGTCCTGTTTGTCTCTGTGTTGCCCTGCGATGGACTGGCGACCTGTCCAGGGTGGACCCTGCCTCTTGCCCATTGACAGCTGGAGATAGGCACCAGCACCCCTCATGACCCCAATTGGGACAAGCGTGTCAGATAACGGATGGATGGATATCCATGCATTTTGAGTTAGAATTAGTTGTAAAAGCTATTAAAAAAACAGTTGGTTTTCAGAGGTTAAGAACTAGTCAAATGTGGAGCTGATGGTCCGTGCATACATAGCTACATTCTCCATGCTGAGTGAACACTTCCAAATGGCCCCGGTGGCAGCAGCCAGGAGCTGCTTGTTGTCTGCTTTAGCCAGCAGTGAAACCAGCGGCTGCAGGCCTCTGGAGCGGCGGACCAGGTCCCGGGTCCCTTCGTCCTCTGCACACTGTAAAGCAAACGAGAGGCCTGAGAGAGATCTGCAGTCTGGCTCTGATCAGTCCAAATTAAACAGTTTTTATAAATTAGCTTTCTGTTTTCACACAGATAAACTCCTTAGCTCTGAGCAGAGCAGAAGACAGAGGACCAAGTACCTTAAAGATTGCACTGGCACAAAGCATTTGGAGCTCAGTGTTGTTACTCTTCAGCTTCTTCACGAAAACCTTCACCATCCCTTCACTTTGAATGGCAGCCCTGTAGGCTTCCTGTTGAAAAGAGAAAAACAACAGAATAACAGATGCCATCGATATTGAATAAAGATTAACTGATGACGTTAAATCAATTAGACACATTTCTGCAAAGTTTGTTTGGAGCTTTAATGGTTAAACTGGATGAATGTCAAATATCATCGCCGGTGATCCGGTGGGTGGACCTTAAGTGCGGGTAATTATTCAGAATGCATAAAATTCCACTGCTAAAAATTTTTACCAGCAGGTGGAGCCATTGCGCGCAGCTCCAAGCTGACACCAAAAGTTCTATACCACACAGCTCTGGAACTGTTATAGCTAGAGGTCTGAAATCTTCTGCATTTGTGGTTGACATGATGTAGAACACATATAATACAATGAAACCTGCTTTTTCTCAAGAATGCCTTTATTACTGCTGTTCAAAAAAGACCTATCATTTCCGAGAATAAAAAAAAACAACAACTTTGAGTCATGTTTGAACTGATGCGTGTTGATCTGTGTTCTAGTCACCCAATTTTTTATTTATATATTAAGAAATTAGAGGGTGTTAGCTTTCAAATAATGTATTGCACATGTAATTTGGTCTTACAGTTCCTAAGTTATCTGCTTTTCCATTTGGGTATGCAAAATAGGTGAGGATTACCCAAAATGACGTGGATGATAAGAAGTTAAAGAATCAAATTCCCACATCTTAAAGCAAAGGGCACAACTTCCTAGCTGAGATCTCCTCACCTGTGAGGCACATTCCTGCAGCGTACCCACAACAGGGACCAGCATGTTCTCCAGTGGAGACCGGAGCATGCGTCCCAGCAGAGGGATCCCTCCAGCGCTGCGAATGGCCTCCTTGTTCTTGGTGCTTTTGCTGCAGATCCACAGAGCCGAAGCTGCACAGCGGGCCACCTCCAAATCCTCCTCCATGTTTGCTCTGCGCTCGGCTGGATTAGAGAAGCATTCCAGCAGCTTCACCTGATCAGAGAGAGGCCCTCAGACTGACATGTTATTACACACAAACACAGGAATGTGAGCAGAGCAGCAGTGAGACGAAACACCTCCATGGACACATCTCCATGCCAATGACCAATCTAAGCTAACAGCTGAGGAATAATGTGAATGTGCTGGGGAAGATTCTCAGTCATCCAGGTAAAAAGTCATTCCACAAAAGATAAACCATCCACTGGACTTTGTTACCAAGTTTGAAGATGTTTTGCTTCCCATCCAGGAAGCTTTTTCAATTCAAAATGTCAGACTTAGCGTTGAGTTTGAGGCTTTTCATAGTGGACCAAAAAAAAAAGCCTTGTTTTGGCTTAGAAAACATGCAAATAAACCAGAAGAACGGGTCCACCCCTTACAAAATGGGGGATGTTTTGGTTCTTTGTTGCCCTGCAATACCCTATACTGGTCTTTACCTCTGAAAGGGGGTCGTTAGGGGGAATTCTTGGCCAGGCTGAACAGGCGAGATGTATTGGTCCCCTGTATGGGGGTGGGGGTTGTGATGATGACTATCGCTGTATTGTAGCTTTTTGAAAACTGAAACCTGAGTCCACCCCCTCTGTTTGAGATTGTTTTATTTACTTTTCTTAACAGAAATGGCTTCTTTCAGACCCCTTTCAAACCACCTGTTCCCTTTGTCCAAAATGTCAACATTCTGGTGCTCAAAAGATGTCCTTTGTCCATAAGTTGTAGATGTACACCTTAAGTGTTTTCCAGAAGAGGTAGCTCTTCTGTGTTGGACCATGCGTCTGTGAAGAGGTTGTTTGGTTTCTCCAATATAAAGATCAGAGCATTCCTCACTGCATTGAACTGCATTAACCACTTTGCTCATATTTGGTCTGGGGGTTTTGTCCTAAGTCGGACCCTGACCCGAAGCCGGACCCGCTCTTCTGGTTCAATTAGCATGTTTTCTAAGCCAAAACAAGGCGTTGTTTTGGTCCGTTCTATAAAACCTCGAACTCAAAGCTAATTCTGACATTTTTAATTGAAAACGCTTCCTGTATGGGAAACAAAACGTCTTCAAACTTGGAAACAAATTCCAGTGGATTGTTTTTTAACTTTTTTGGACTATGAATGAATGCAGATAGATCAGATTACACTTTCCTNCAGCCTTTTAGAACCAAACCTCCATTTTCCTGAGCTCGGACTCACCAGTTTTCCGATTCCTCCATGTTCCCTGACGATTCTTCTTGCTCTGCGGGACGTGGCCACGTTTTTGATGGTCTCAGCAGCTAAGGCCTGCAGCTCCTTCACTGGTAAGTCCAGGTTGTTCACCATCCTCTGCAGGCCTCTCATCTTCACAATGGTCTGTCGGAGCTGAACATTCTGGCTGATCTTTGTCAGGATCTTTAAAGACCCGATCTGATCAGAAACATTCAGGACAAAAACAACAACATGGAAGAAGGTGCAAGAATCCAAGCATCGCTTTATGATAACTGTGGCTTCAATAGCAACATGCTGAGACATATAAACATCTGTAAGCCAAACACAGCTGCATTTCCACTAAAAGTAGCTAACTAGCCTCCTCACATGTCCTACTGGTGAATAACAGCTGTCCTGTGACTCTAAAGGTGGTTTCCTATCAACACTCCGGGTTCAGTCTCTAAAACCCAGACTAGCTCAAAGAACAAGTTCTGTTCATAACTGCAGTCCATCCAAGTACAGCTTCAGCACAGCTTCTTACTTTGCATCTGATGTCGTCTGTATCCAGAAGGTTCAGGAGGACTTCCAGCCCACCTAAGTCCTGGATGGCCACTTGGTAGCTCTCCTTCAGCAGATCCAGCTCCATCATGGCGCAGAGAATCAGCACAGTGGCTGTCTGGTCGCCGTCCTGGAATGACAAAGAATCAGGGTCATAAAACGGTTGATTATTCTTATTTTGCATCCATTTTGTGACTGGGACTTGAAGTGATAAACTAGCTAGTACTGATTTTACCCATTCTTTCTCTCTGAAATTAAATGTTTATTGTATTAACATGAACTTTTCAAGCAAGAAAATATAAAAATGTTTCTATGATTTGAAGTGAGTTGTTTTAAAAAAAACAAAAAAAAACTGAGGAAATATTTTTGCATGTATGTTAACACAAACCTTAATAAAATATAAAAACAGCTCTGAACTATACAGGTTTTCTCACTGAGATCCAAAATCTAATTTATAAGAGATTCATCTTCATAAATACAAACAAAATTCCAAAATATTATTTTTGCTCTGGAAAATCAGCTGGATTAATGAGAGATTCACTGCAAGCTCTTCTTGCTGTTATGAAACCGTTTATAGAAAATCTTCTTGTCTGATGAAACTCTGTAGGTAAAACAGGATGAGCCCGTCTGAAGGATCAAAGCAGGACCAAAAGGTTCTTTTATGAACTGGATGTGAGCCACATAAAGATACTTTCCACATGTTACTTCATCTCTTCCTGCAGGTTTCTCTGCCCCAGTTGCTAACAGCAGAAATCTCCACGTGGCTGAATGGAGGTCTTCTTCTAATCTGGCAACTCGAGGCCAATAAATCACAGCACTAAGTATGTGGAGCAGGAATGAGGTCAGCAGAGCTGCCAGTAATTCCATGTTGAGCCTTTATGTGATGCTGTTCTGCAGTGACCTGGACGCGCTGCTAGAAGGAGTGAACTTCTGTACGAAATGGTGCTCAGAACTGACTGCAGTGTTGGATTGGTCACAGATGGATTCAGGCACCTGACAGAGCTTTGCAGATCTTCCTATTACAGGGAAGAGGAGGAACCTAGCAGAGTTCGAACTAAGAGGATGGATCAGTCTTCTTCCTTCACGTTCAGAGTGAAGAACTTCAATAGCTCTGAATAATGGACTTTCTGTCAAGTTACAGATTGTACATAAGGAACACCCTGTTCAAGCACAACAATGTGCATCATTGCACTTGGCATCAGGACACCCTAGGCCAGAGGTCCATGATCCACTTTGTGGTGCTATATTTTGACCTTCAGCTGCAGGTCTTGGACAATCGGGTCAAGAGACGGGCGGAGCTGTCCACCGATAACCACCTGGTGGTGAGCTGGATAAGCTGGAAGAGGAGGAAGCCAGACTGGCTCCAAGGGTCTAAGCAAGTAGTGAAGGTCTGATGGGAACATCTGATCAGGGAAATTTTCAACTCCCACCTAAAGGAGAGCATCTCCCGGGGGTGGGGACATAGAGTCAGAGTGGGCCATGTTTCCTGCTTGTCAATCCGGCTTCCTGTAGCTATGACGGTAAAGGTTGCAGTGCCTGTCGTGGTGACAATCCACAACCCTGGAGGGGGACACCAGCGGTGTGGGATGCTGACAAGCTTTAGAAGGAGTCATGTTGAGCCTAGCTGGCTTGTGAGACTCCTGAGGAGTTTTGAGACGCCATGGAGAAAGAATCAGAGTTGATTTCTCAAATCAACTCTGCCAACTGTCAGATGCTTCAGTAGGTGGAAGCAGTGATTTGCCAACAATGTTTTCAGTAGAAGTGAGGAGCTCTGACCCCAAAAAAGGACATCTCTGGACAGTAGAAGGAATACTTTGAGTATCTATAGGCTGACACGACTTCCATGGTGGAAGGAGAGACAGTGCTTGCTGCATTCCTTACCCAGCCTAAAGTCACAGAGGTACTTAAAAAAATTCATATATAGATTTTATCAGGCTGTCATGGCTGAGACACATCTTCAACATCCAAAAATTGAAAAACAATCCCCTGGACTTGGTTTCCAATTATGAAGATGTTTCCCTTTCCATGCAGGAAGCTTTTTCAATTCAAAATAGAACTGATTTGGAATGACTATGACCTGGATGACTGAGAAACTTCATCAGCACACAGCACACACCAGCACCCCTGGACTGGCAGACATTAATAGTGGTTCCCCTGCATAGGCAGGGCGACCAGAGGGTGTGTTCCAACTATAGGGGATCATATTTCTGGTTCAGGAACTAGCTGATCAGACCTATCTGCTGGATTCCTCCTGCTAAGACCTCCTGCATGCACTGCAGTTGGTTCAAGACTGAGTGAAGCCATGGTTTCTTACTGGAAATAGGTTTCCATTCTTCTTCAGGTTGGAGGACAGTTGCTGCCTCAAGTAAGAGTTCAATTATTTTGGGGTAGTGCTGCATCCTTCCTGTTCATGTATTTATAACAGGGAGGATCAAATGGAGCCTCTACTTTAACACCTCGGCTTCAGAAAGTGGAGAATAAAGAGAGGATGATAAAAAACAAACGTATGGATTCAATTCAGTCAGAAACTGACTTCAGTCTGCTTTCAGGATGCTGTGAGAATCAACATCAGCCTCATAGAGGCACAGAACTGTAGTCATCCAGGTAGAAAAATAAACTCTTTAGAGCCCTGGGCAAATACTCCTCCATCAACATCATTAAAACACAAAACAGAACATCTGTGTGTGGCTAAGTCAAAGTTTTGAACTTCCTACAGAACAAGCAGCAGTTTGTGGTGTGACGTGAAAACGATCCCCTCCTAAAATCAAGCAGATATTAAACTTTGCTCCAGCTGAGCTTCAACCTCTGATGGTAATGCTATTATGAAATGACTGCAGGAATAAGGCCGTAAATAACTGCACCGTGTGGATTCCAGGCAGATAGAAAGCTGGGACATATTGGTTAGAGGTACAAGCATCTTTGTGAAGCAGAAACACACACAACCCTAAAGCAGTTACCAAAATCTTTCACATTGTGTTTTCGCTTTCTGGAAACAGTCAATTCCTCCTATCAAACTGGGAATTTCCTTCCAGTAGTTTCGATTTTGTTCAGCTCAAGTTCCCACAAAAAGACTGTTGGCTGCTAGGTTTTCTACTGAACAATTCCTGGTTGCAGTGAACAGGATCCAATTGAGCAACAAGCTCTGGAGGTCAGAGGGTCATCAGGAAATCATTCCTGAACATTCAGATTTTCTGGATCACCACGATTAGGAAGCTAAGAAGGGATTTTTCCTGCTGGAGGATGAGGGACAGGTTGTGGAGATCCTTTTCTACTGGAACCTGTCTCAATGATGGAGTCCAGATAATATCTAACAGGGATCAGCAAAGGAAGCAGGGAATTCTCTCCAGTCAGGTATTCCCAGCTAGTCTGGGTCGCAGCTGCTTCTGTCTTCGTTCGTTTCCTTTCATGTTTTGATGCATTAATATTCATCAGATGTCCTGTAAGATCCATCACACACCAAGTTCATCTGGTGGGGGCAAACAGGGCTACAGGTGGTGCAGTGAGACAGAACAACCCCCTGGATCTGGGCTCTATGTGCAACCAAACATGTCTGGGTTAGGACCACCAGAACTGAGCCAAATGCTCCAGGTAGCCTCTTCATCCAAAGCAGAGCTTTAAATAGGGACAGCCTCATTCTGGTTGCCTCTGACATCCTTTACTCTTTCACCGAACCTTGATAGAAACAGCTGAGGTGCTCTAAGAGTAAAGGAGCTATGGGAACAGTGATGATTCTCAGAGAAACTGACTTCACTGCTTCCTGTCAGCTATAGCCTGCTTTTCCTCTGCTAGAACAACTCTCACTGGTTCTGGATGAAGTCCATCAGAGGACAGAACCAACAGTGTTCCTGGGTATGTTCTCCTACCTTTAGCTCCTGCACTAGTTTCTCGATGTACCAGTCTTCAGAGGGCATGTCTGTGTTGATCTCTGAGCGTCGCACTTGCTGCTCCTCTTCCTCCTCCTCCTCCTCCTCGCTCTCCGGGAAGCTCTTACTGACATGCTCCTCAGAGGTGGCTGAGGTTTTCCTGAACACAGACAGCAGATATCAGCACATCTCTGACAGTAGAGAAAAAGATACGTAGGAGTCAGACAGAGGATCCATGTCAGACAGAGGGATGGGCTGGAATAACCAGGGAGTTTAAATGGATTAACAGCCTCATCATCCCACACAAGAACGCCTATCAACCAATTTCATGTTGAAGTTTCAGGTTAGAACTTCCACAAGCTCTAAGCAGTAGGAAACTAGATAAGAATAACGTCAGCAGAGGACTGCTCTCATCATCACACAGAGAGGAAAGACTCTTGTTGAGGGCGTGTATGCA